GAGGGGAAGGGGAAAAATAATACAAGGGGGACAAACGAATGTCAGTAGAGGGGGCAGAGAGAGAAGAGGGGAGGGGAGGGGAGGGGAGGGGAGGGGGGATAGTAGAGGATAGGAAAGGCAGCAGAATACAACAGACACTAGTATGGCAATATGTAAATCAATGGATGTGTAACTGATGTGATTCTGCAATCTGTATATGGGGTAAAAATGGGAGCTCATAACCCACTTGAATCAAATTGTGAAATATGATATATCAAGAACTATGTAATGTTTTGAACAGCCAACAATAAAAAATTTTAAAAAAAAATTAAAAAAAAAAAAAGGCTATTACTGAATACTTTTCGTTACCGGAGGGTGCGTGAAGCCACGCGGCGGCTGCCACGTGAGTGAGCCAGTCATGGCGCAGCAAGGAGTTTCCAAGCAGCGGCAGCCGGCTCTTCCCCGCCCCCTGCCTGGGGAGCGGGACGCCACTGTGAGAGCCCAAATCCAAACCTGACCTGGAGGCACAGTCTCGCAGGCTCTTTGAGTCCAGGACTCTCCCCGGGAGTCCGGGACACTCCCCGGACTCTCTCTGGGGCCATCTGGGACTGCCCAGGACGCTGCAGGCAGAAGACGGCCCGCGCGTCCCTGAAGTTTGATCGTTTCCAAGGCCAGTAACTACAATGGTTCTCCCACACCTGAACGCTAGTTCCTGCCTTCGACCCAGTGCCTGTGAGGACGAGGGTGGAAGAATTTCCATTGTTGCTGAGAACCGGACGAGACTTCAGATCAAGCTAGCTGCCTGCAGAACTTACCTGGACTGTGATTTAAGCTAGCTGCCTGCAGAACTTACCTGGACTGTTATTTACCTGGACTGTGAGTTAATCTATTGAGACACTGCTTTACCTGGACTGAGACAACAAACTGTAATCTACAACAAATTGTAACTCGGTATCTTTGCAAACAATGTCATTGCTGGTATAATTTTTCTAAGGGCTTCTTGCATGGAGCCATCAATTGGCTTGGTATTGTGGCATTTTGTATCCTCCCCTTCTGCTTGTAGCAGATTATTTATGGTGTTTGTGTAAAAACCACTATGGTCGTTATTTAAATTAAACAAAAGGGGGAAATGTTAGAGTCTGTAAACAAGTCTGGATGGCGCCTGGCATTTTGCCAGAGGGAGTGGTTTGTGAAGTAACGCCAGCGAGCCATTAAGTGTGGAGATTCCTTATTGGTTGACTGATGTATCTAGTTTATGTTAATTAGATAAGCTATGTGGAATGTATAAATACCTCTCTTGTCCTACAATAAACGGCTCCCACTCCTGCTGTATCAATGTACATAAGTTGTTCGTCACCCCCTGGTTATTTTGCTGCAGCCGGACTGCGGCACCCCTAGGCTGTATATGGTGGATTTGAGGTTTGAACCCAAGTCAACAGAACGCATTGGACTCCATACTAGTGCCTGATTCGTAAAACCAAAGTTAATGTCTTAATACAACAGAGTGTTAATCCTACCTGTTATCTTAACCCTGGGTAACAGCCTGCAAAATTATCATCCTGTCAATTTTTTAAAACATTTTTTGGTTTGGTCAGAGAAAGCATTTGTATAAAAGGTGAGAAGAAGGCATTATTCATCCAGCCTTTTACACCTCCTTTTAAAAACACACACCACCTTTATTATATTACCTTTGAATTTTGATTTTAATTTAATACACATAAGGAAATCCTAGCAAATAACAGGCTCAAAAGACTCAAACAACTCAGCAAAAAAGGCATCAAATAAAAATTATGTATGGTACATCAATCATTCTTATTTCTCCCATAAATCTTGAAAACAAAAAATCAGCTCCTTGTATTTCATTTGCTTTCCTCCTTTGAATTAAGGAAAGCTTCCAAAGATACATTGTATGTACAGAGAGGGCACATGGCGAACATCGCCTTGGCACCTTTTACACTCTTCAGGAAAGAATCTGCAAAATTGGCTTTGATCCCTGTTTTTAAATTTAAGAGGAGCTCATTTGCAAGACTTATAAATAGAATTTGTTAAGTGACCAAACCATTTTTTTAAATTTGAAAATAACAAACTTCTACCTTGAACTGAGCTGGCTGGAAAGGGGAGGGGGTCACCCTGCCCCGCCACCCCCAGGCTTTGGTGGAGGAAGCAGAAGGACATGAGCAACGCAGGGAAGAGGAGGCTAACGGAGGATCGTCCACCTGCTGCAGGGTGCGCAGTGCTCTCAGGCCTGCTAAACTGGTCCATCTCCCTAGAGGGCAGAAAAGGTGAATCTGTTATGATGTCCTCTTAAAATTCTTCCCTCCCTCTTCCTCTTCCCTCCACCCTCTCCCGACGGGTCACTCCTGTCCTTCTTGGTGGCCTAGTGAATGTTTCCTGGACTTTCCTTTGTCTCAGAGCTTCAATCTGTGACTTACCTGGGTTTGGATTATAGGAATGGAAAATCCATTTTATTTTGCCTCATTAGGCAAAATTTTGTAGAAGACGCTGAGAAAAGCACTGTGTTGGACACCACAGGGCTACTGGGAGCGCTGGGATTTGAAACCAGGAGGTGGAACCCCAAGGCTGCTTTCCCTTCCTGGAAGCTCAGCTGCCTTCCTGTCACTGACGGAGGCTTCTGCATAGCCCTTGGGAGGCATGGAGCAGCCTGAAGAGCTAGGTGTCAGTGTCCATGTTTTACAGACAAACAGAGGGCAACTGATATGGCTAAGACCATGCAGCTGGCATCCCATCAGGTCTCAGAGCCTGCATTTCAAGGCCGGTGCCCATCCATCGCCAGTCGAGGACTTGGCTAGACTCAGGAAGCTCTGGCTAGGTCCCTTCTGCCCTGCTGGATGGAGGTGGATGGGCACACCTCCCTGAGTTAGGCAACAGGCAACCGGGGTAACTGAGACCCTGAGAAATCAGTCGGCTTACTTCGGCCTCTCCATTGGTAAGTGTGGCATGGGGCCAGAGCAGAACTTTACACGCTATTCCCCTGGGGTGGGAATGCTGGCACTTGGCGAGATGCGGTCAGAAATCCTCAGCATTCGGAATTTTAAACTCTGTGGCCCTTGTGCACTGAAATGCTTAGTGCTGAAGTTTTGCAATGCCTGCAAATTACTTTCCAAGAGGTCAGAAAGGTAGAGGGGAAGCAAATGCCAGCCACAGAGGGTAGAGGTGGGGTGCCCAGACGTGCCCTGTGCTGGGGACTGAGGGGTCTCCACCACTGAGCCACATCCTCAGCCCTTTTTGTGATGAGACAAGGTCTTGCAAGATTGCTGAGGCCAGTCTGGAACTTGTGATCTCCTGCCTCAGCCTCACAAGTAGCTGGGATTACAGATCAGATGTCCACTACCCTGCCTGGCTGTTCCTTCAACTTTTATGTAGACTTGAAGTTTTCAAAGTGAAAGGTGGGAATGGGGGAAGAGTGAGAAAAGGAAGGAAGCAAAGAAGGCAATTCTGACAGTGTGCTTTCTCCCGGGGACTCTGCAGTGTCCCTGCATCGACAGCCACAGAGCCATTTCCTGTCTTTCACCTATCAGGTAATCAGTAGTTGTGGTCAACAGAACATGGTGCCTGAACCTCACTGAAGAGAGCCAATGTACCAGCACCTGGGGATATGTTTTTAAGTCAACAGGAAATCCTTAGATTTATAAAGTCCTACCATCCACTCAAAGAGAAATCATATTTTGGATAAATCTTCCAAAGAAAATTTCCTGCCTGGCTAAACTATGACTGTTAGCTAATTCTGCAAGCATTGATTCATTTTTGATAAATTATAATATTTAAGTATTCCATATCCCTACTTGCTGTCATAAAAATACTAGTGACGGTTGCCAGCTAATAATTCCCCCATTCCCAATTATGTTTGAAGATTTAAAAAAAAAATAAATACAACAAAATAGAACTAAAATTTTATAGAACAAAAATTCAATAGTCAGTGAAATCCATTTGTGATACAAATTCATGATGTGATACAAATCACATCAGAAGACAGGTCGTGCCCTGGGGGGTACTATGCATTTCACTTTTGGTTTCAGAGACTATATTTTCTACATTCTAAGAGCAATATGTGATAATTTAAATTTTTTGAATATCATAGGATAGGGGGAAGAAACAAAAATCCATCTTCAAACCCAGAAGGAGCTAGAACTTAACATTTTGATGACATTTCTTCTCGAGGCATTTTTCTTTTTGTCTATCATTGTGGTTTTCTTTTCTTATTTTTTGAAATGGTATTCTATGTACAATTTTTGTATCCTGCTTTGTTCAAATGACACTATCTTATTAGCATTTTCAGTATTATTAAAATTTTGGGGAAAAGAAACGTTTATGTTGTGGAAATTAAAAAAATAAATAAAGACACGGGGAGAATATAAGAAATTATGTAGGCTTATGTGATGGAAAGACTGGTGGTGACTGGTGGACAGAAGACAGGTGCCGGGAGGAACACTTTCCCACTGAGTATATTTATATATTTCTGTAAATTGTCTGTATGTATATATGCATATTTAATTTTGAACTATGTGCATATGATGCTTAGTAAAATGTAAATAAAGTGATTTGAATAATTTAAGGCCTTGGCATATTATATAATTCTCCAGTGAGGGAGCTCATGAGTTCTATATTTTTTTCTCATGCATTGATCTGCGTGCTTTTGAATACATCTGTTCATGTGTGTATGTGAGTGAATAATTGCCTGATCTGATTTGGTCACTAGTTCAAACAATCAGACTATCTTAATGTCCACAAGCTTATTTTTATATTTTGTGGTTGAAATTTTATGAGGATGTTTAGAGACTAAATCTTGAGAGATTTCCACTTTTTTTTTTTTTCCTTTTTCTATGGGAATGGCTTCTCTTTTCTATACCAGAAGACTGGTCGTGCCCTAGTGGGTACTATGCACCTGAGGACCTAAAGAAGTCTTGGGCCAGACCATGAAGGACCACAGCTGACACTGTGCCCACAGGACAAGGACTCGTCCCCTGTGGGCCCTCACGTGAACGTCTCTGTGAAGTTTACATGTGGATGGGGTCCTTGGTCTCTAGGCCAACTGGAGACAAGGCTGAAAGCTGTGGCCACTGTGCATCTGGGCATGTCAACTCAGAGTCCCTACCACCCCTGCGTCCCACAGCTGGCAGTGGAGCCTGGACTTCCCTGTGGACCCCACACTGACCATCCCTCATCCTGATGGTGCTGGTGTCTGGCTGGGTCCCCTGCAAGCAGGGAAGTGGTGCTAGAGACTGGGACTTACCCCACCGCAGCACTGACAGTCTCCACAGAGTGTCCCCAGGAGGCCGTTGATCGCCTGGATAGCACAGAGAATCATCTGGATTCCTCCGATCACCAGCAGGATGGAGAAGAGGGTCAGATTCCAGGAGACCACATTGTCAGGCTGCAGGCACTTGCTCCACAGGGCTTGGTCACTGAGATAATCCCTGCAGGTGACGGGGTGGGGAAGGTGGAAGGAGACATTTGTTAAATACGGAGTCATCCCCTAGACTGGGAGGTCTACATAAAGATTTTTCTTGTGCAGTACTTCCCGTCTGGAGCTGGGGGGTGTGGCTTGGTGGCAGAGCACTTACCTAGCATGTACCAGGCCATAGGTTCCAGCCCAGCACCACAAAAACAAGACAAGACAAAACCTTTCCATCCAAAACAAGTTCCATGAGAAAAATACACAAATAAATTAATGAAACAACCCCAAACTAACACTTTGAGTACATCCTATGTGCCAGATCATGTTCTAAATGTTTTGCACATATTCTCTCATTTATTCCTCACAGAAACCTATGATTCTTTCCTTCCAGACCACAAATAAGGAAACTGAGGCACAGAGAATTTAAGTGGCTTATCCCAGGTCACACAGCTACTAAGCAGCAGAGCAATATTTGTGACAAGGCAGAAAAACAAAAACACGTCAGAGTTAGAATTGCACAAATGACAGCCTTTTTAGCAGTACTATCATTCGAGACATTTTGACTTTTGACAAATTATCTGTTAAACTCAGCGGAGATCTAAAACCATGTAAAATACAAATGTCGTATCAACTAAAGGGAAGAGTCTGATTTTGACCAAATTGTGAATTTGACTCAACACTTAGGAATTCCATGTGAAAAAATGCTTAATTAATTATCTTTAAAAGTTAGAAGTAATCTACTATCTTAATACATACAATTTGCATAAACTTTGAATTAAGAGAAACTGCTGTATATACATATACTGCAATTTCTCATATTCACATCTATACTGTGTGTGTGTGTGTGTGTGTGTGTGTGTGTGTAGAGCGGGGGGTGGGGGCCAGTTCATTGTCATACGCAGGGCCTTGTGTCTTGCAGAGGAGAGGTGAATCTGCTCTGCTCCCCAGAAGACAAGAAAGAGCAAAGTGGGCAGATGCTTTTGGATTATTAAGATTCTGTCTCACATTCCTAGAGCCACAGATCCGCCCCTCTCCTTTCTATTTCCTCCACCCTCTGGACCTCTGTGAGAAACTCTTTAGCTACCAAGTTAGCACTCATCTTATTGCTCCAGATCTTTATTGTTATTGTTCTTGTTATTGGTTTTGGGGGTTGTACCCAGAGGCTCTCTCACACTGAGCTCATTCTCAAGAGCTTTTTATTTTGTATTTTGGACAGGTTCTCCCTAAGCTTCCAAGGATGGACTTGACCTTGCTGTCCTCCCCTGGCCTCAGTCTCCGGAGTGGCTGGGATTACAGGTGCCACTGTGCCCAGCTATCTAGATCTTCATGATGACCTCTGTGTCCTAGAAATTCTCAGGTGCACCAGTACACATTTATTTAATACATTATGATTTTAGAAACTCTTACAAATGATGGGAGATGTCCTGGGGTTGAACAAAGGTGAAGAAATGAATGAACGAGTGCTTCACTCTTGATTCAGAAGCAAAGCTGTTTATACCCTTGGCTCAGTTTTCCTAAGTGGCCTGGTCTAGGTTGTTACCTGCCGTGGGGCCTCATCCTTACCTGTAAAACGGGAGCCACTTAGTCTACCACGTCTTAGTGTTACTGTATTACATAAGCTAATATGAGTAGCGTGCTCAGGACATGCACAGAGTAAGTGCTTGCTGAATACCTGTACTGTCATGTTCTCACTTGATCCACGCAGTCTAATGAAAAGAGCCTGCATTTTGGAAATTTGCTGTTTTACATCAAACATCCATCTTTCTGTTTCACTTGTTCTTACATACAATCCTTGCTATCTTTACAATTTTGAGTTTGATGATTATGAAAGTTGGTAAAGATAGGGTAATTTTCATGCACGCTGATTTATATAAAGAAAACAGACTTAGAGGCAATTTGTCCAGAGATGAGGCGACAGCGCCGCCTAGTGATGAGATTGATAAAATACTCTGGGAATGAGGAAACTAGGAATAATCTGGATGCCTGGAGAATCCAGTTGCACTCCAGCTGCTCCCAAATGGCCACTGGTAGCCATCTTCAGGCCCTTCTCCACTCACAACTCTCAAATCTGAGGGTGTAGGAGACCCTGATCAAAGAAGGCTACAGGCACGCACAGTGTGCTCCCAAGCCCAGGGTGGGAGGGGTCCTGGGTTCTTCGTGGACCTGGTAGTTGACATGTTTCTACTTTCTGTGAGGCAGGGAGAGCTGAGGCAGTGTCAATCCACTTAACTGGTGGTTTTCTTTTTTGCTTTGTTTTGTTTTTTGCTTTTGGTACCAGGGATTGAATCAGGGGCACTTAACCATTGAGCCACATCCCAGGCCTATTTGTTTGTTTGTTTAGAGACAGGGTCTTCAAAGTTGCTTAGGGTCTCACTAAATTGCTGAAGCTGGCTTTGAATTTTCAATCCTCCTGCCTCAGTCTCCTATGACTCAATGTCAATCCTTTCAGGGATTACAGGGGTGCGCCATCATGCCCAGCTTAACTGGTATTTTCAAGCACCTGGTTATCACGAGGGGCATTCCCACCTGAACCACAATAATCCCACCAACTTGGGAGCAGAAAGCTATGGTTTACACAAGTCTCTTTGCTCTAGGACTAGAAACCCACAAGGGCAGAGACCATGTCCCCCCAACTGTGTCCCCAGGTCCAGCACAGTGAATGTTCAATACACAGCAGCCCTCGTTCACTGGGTCTTGACCAGGGACTGAGCACTGGGCCATTTGCTTTATATCATCCTTCCTAACACTACAAAGATGGGCTTCTGGAAAAGTGCCTGGCAAAGAGCAGCCCTCATAAATATTTCCTGAGTGAATGGATGTATATCCATTTTGCAAATTAAGAAGTTGAAACTTGTAACTGGAAGTAGCTGGATTTGATCTGAGGTCTAATTTCAAAGCCAGTGCCCTTATACAAATTGTACTCAAGTAGTTATATCCCTTTAGAACATTTGAAATATGATTTCTTTATGAAATTTTCTTTATGCTATCTGTAATAATATGCCAACCAAGGTTTACTGTGTCATCGTAGAGATGAGTCTCTTTGAACCTTCCTGGGTCTGGCTGAAAGGATTGACACCGAGTCACAAAATCATTAGAAAAGTGTAACACTTTAGAAAGTTCTAATGCACATGAATGAATTCCGTTACAAAAATTCATAAAAATGAAGAACATCGTGGAATGTCAAAAATGCACAATGCCCACTGCATTTTTGACATTCCACGATGTTCTTCATTTTTTGCTGTTTTATTTCCACCTGAAGCTGTGAAGCAGATGTTGCTGCCACCTCTATCTCACCACTGAGGAGTTTGCAGGGCCCAAGATCCCACTGCTGGTGCATGGAAGAGTTGTGCCTGGCTTTTAAGTTGGCTTGGGGCAAAACAGGTTGCTAACATCTGTGATGCTCTTTCTGCGGCGTGAACACTGCGTGTGCTTGCAATGCAATCGCACCCTACCCAGGAGACTTTCAGCCTCAGGAATGTCTTCTTGAACAGTTTATGGGGCTTCTTGCTAATAAGTCATCTTAAAGAGCAAATGCAGATGGTCCTGGCTGGGAGTCCAGGTGGAGGGTTTAATTATTTTCAGTTCTGGGTGTCAGTGTCCCAGCCACTCAGCTGCTCGTGGCTTCTCAGGGGTCAGCTCTTGCCCAGGGAACGGGAGGTGCCCTGCTCACTGGCTGCTACCCTCTCCCACCACTGAACTTCCTTGGCTTCCTGACCTTGGCTGACCTAACATGCTGGGCAAAGTGCTGCCCTTCCAGCAGCTCTGGATCAGGGGTGGGGTGGCAACTGTCTCAGTACAGAAGCCTTTGGATAGGAGGAGGCTCGACTCCAGAGGAAATGAATAGCTTGCCTCAAAATACCCCAGGTTTCTTTTTTCCTTCCAGGATGCTTCTTTTAAATTTTTCTTTTTCTTTTTGCAGGGGGTTGAACCCAAGGATGCTCTACCATTGAGCTTCATCCAGCCCTTTTTGTTTTTTATTTGGAGGTAGGCAGGGGGGTCTCACTGAGTTGCTTAGGGCCTCACTAAGTTGCTGAAGCTAGCTTTGAACTTGCGATCCTCCTGCCTCAGCCTCCCGAGTTGCTAGGGTTGACTGTACCTGGTGTAGAATGCTTCTTAATATGGTTCTCATGATGGATAAAGTTAATTAACTCTGCTTCTTTAATATTTTCACCAACACGCATTTCTGAGGAAAACAGTGCTAAATTCTATGGCATTAAAGAGCCCTGCATTTCATGCCCAAGTTGGAAATCTCAGCATTTGCCTAGATAACCTTTCCCCTTCCTCACACCTAATGCTGGGCAAGCCCATCTCTGACAGTCTCTGAAATTTGCCCCAATTCTGTAGCCTCGGAGAAGCTCAGAACCTCACCTGGATCATCACTTCGGCCCCCGCCTCTCTCCCCCTCCCCAGTGACAGGGCTCTTCCATTCATTCTCCACATCAACGTCACCAATGTCATTATTCCAAACTCCCAAGTGGCCGCCTCACATCCTTCTTGACGTTCTCTGCTCTCCTCTGACGTCCCCAAGTTGCACCAGCCTCAGTCAAGTGTCCAGCCTGCCACAGTCAATGGTGCCCCTTCTGTTCCTCCCCCCCACATTTCCCTGAGCTTCAGGTCACAGCATCCTGACATCTGATCCCCTGAGCCCCGAGGCCCACGCCTGCCTCCCCTCCCTGTGGGGAAGGCAAACTCAGGCTCATCCTCCCAAACCAGCCATGTCCCCTCCTCAGGGTTCCACTACTTTCCACATTGACAAGTTCTGTTTCCTGTTGCCCCTGCAACTAACCACGTGCTCCTGGGACTGCGCCTCATCTGTCCTTCCTCACTCCATGTTCTGATGGGCTTCGGCACTAAGTCAGGTACTGATGCTGTGCAGCTAAAACATTTCTTCTCCTGGTTCCTAGCTGAGGGGCCCTGGGGGGATTAGCCTCTTTGAACTTCATTTTTTCCTCCGGGGTAAGAATTCTCAGGTTTGACAGGAAGATTGAGATAATGCACCCACGCTTGGCAATTATCCTTGGGAAGAAAAGGAGGAGGAGGAGGAAGAGGGGAAGAAAAAATAGAAGAAGAAGGAGGGGGGAAGGAAAAGGAAGAAGGGGGAGGAGGAGGAGGAGGAGGAGGAGGAGGAGAGGGAGAGGAAGAGGAAAGAGAACAGGAGGAGCGGTCACCCTGCATCATACTGCGCTGCCGTCTGGTGGTGGGAGGGGTGACAGCTGTCTGGAGTCTGTCCTTTCTGCTCACAGTGGTTTGCTCAGCAGCTGTCACCATGGCTGTGATGCCCCTGTGCTAGGGATCTGATGGGGACACGAGTCTAGTTTGGCCAGGAAAAGTGAAGCCAGAGCACATGACCGTTGCCAGAGGGAATCTCAGCAAAGAGCAGAAAGCATGATCGGCATGAGTTGTGTTTTAGAAAAAAGCCAGGTGACTCCGGGCGAGAAAATCAGAAGTCCAGCTGCAGTCATTTAGAAGCCATGTTCCCTCGAGCTGGTCACCAGGCCTCAGCTACCTTCCTCTGAGAGAAGGCTACAAATCTCATTGGATGAGGATCAAATGACACATTGTGAGTGACTCGATTTTGATACTAAGCACCAGCAAGCAATAGAGGATTAATTCCTGTGATAAGAAACTCCTCATGAGTCACAGGGAAGACCTTGAACCAGCCATATCATCAAACCAAAAAGGAACGTGCTGTGCATCCAGGTCTCTGAAGAGAGGGAACAGGAGGCCAGGATGAAATGAGGTGCTGTAGGTGGCAGAGGGGTGTAGCCAGGCACCATCTGCCTGGCTCCCACCCTGCAAAGAGCCTTCCTGTGGCCATAGTGGCACATGTCACATGTTAACCAGATTGTTCAATTATAGGCAGTCTGGGTGTGGTGAAAGCCTCTGAGCCCAGTTGGTGAGAAATCCTTCTTGTTTTCTATGGTAAGGTCTGCAACGGAAATCGCTACTGGGTATTGATATTATTGATTGCCTTGTGGTAATGCTAGTTCACATCTGGGAGCAAGTAGTGATACCATAAATCTCCTCCCCTCCGGCCAACTGAGGTGTCCTCTTTCAGTTATCTCTCCCTGTGTTTGTCAGAGGGGAGACTTGGTGCAGCCTCTCCCTACCCCACAGTGTCGTTGCCTGACATCTGGGTAACAAGGACGATGTGGTTTGGTGAGCCGCCTCTCCCTGTTGGTGGTCCACCTGCCCCAGCCCTTGAATTGACCTGTGGGCATTGCCAGGTGAGCCTTACCCGTCGTGGAAGGGGTAGCCCCACGTGTTATTGGACATGAGACAGTTAGGACCCTTGTTGATCGAGATGGCTGAGATGACAAACGAGTAGCCAGCACCCAAGAATCCAATCACAGCAAATATGGTCGAGGTGAACATCTGGAAGAGAAGAAGAGACACAGTCAAGCTCTCGTCGGTACAGAGATGACGCTCAGCAAACCCACCCCACCTGTTGAGCGTGGTGACCCAGGAAAACTACAGCTTCTATGTTCTTCCAAATAGTTTTATATGTCAGAGATTAATTAGTCTAGATTGCATTAGCGTCTTTTCTGTTTTCAGTGATAAAATCCAAATAAAATTCCAGTAATCGAGCAGCCCAAGCAATCCTGGAGCCCATTCAAGCTAACTCCCACTTAAAGATGAAAAACCCAGGCCTGGAGACATTAAGAGTGTTTGCAATGTCCATTCTACATGGTAGTTAGCAGCAATATGGAAAACATGCATGATTGTGGAAATGAAGAAAGAAAATGATCACTTCTATAGCTTCAGAAACAAAACACAAGGGTTTGAACCATCAGGAGAGTGAGGCTCAAATCTTAGCCTTGATACTTTCTGCTGTGTGAAGGCTATGAAGGTATCAGAGTCCTGCTTCCTCATCTGTAAAATAGGCATGTTAGAGCCAAACATAAAGCTCTACTGTGAACATTAGTTGTAGGAATCTGAGTTAAATGCCAGCCCCATCCCTTCCCCCATCCTTTTATTATTAATTTTGGTGTTATAGTATATGTTTGGGGGGCTAGGGCATGTAGGGATGAAGAGAAACTGTGCCTGGGCAATTGGAATTTCATAGTAATAGGACTCATACTTTAGCTACTGTTGGTTCCATATGAATGCATTTGAAGGCGGGTACCAGGAACTGAATTCAGGGCACTTGACCACTAAGCCACATCCCCAGCTGTATTTTGTATTTTATTTAGAGACAGGGTTTCGCTGGATTACTTAGTGCCTCACCTTTGCTCATTCTGGTTTTGAGCTCACAATCCTCCTGCCTCAGCTTCCCCTGCTGCTGGGATTACAGGCATGTGCCACCGTGCCTGGCTTATGCATGCATTTTGGATGCAATTTGGCAAGCCCGAGCTCTGGCCTTGCCTGCCTTATGAAGCCTCGTGTGGCTCTCATAGCGCTGACCCATTCTGCCCAGTGTACTCTGGATCATGCAAACTTGGGTCAGAGCACAGGCCTAGGGGACATTAATGGACACACATGAGGCCCTTGGAGCCATGACAGTGAGTCCTATGGAGATGGATGTTCACACTTCACCACCCTGGGCAGGGTATTCTCCCTGAGAGCTTATCAACAGCCCTGGAGAACGGCTCAGTAGACCTTTTCAATGACTAAGGCTTCATGTGATTCATTTAACAAGATTCCCCCCTCAGTTTTTATGCCTGGGATATGTTAAATACACTTTCACCACCAAAACCAGCCGTGAGCTCCATCTAGGATAGAATGAAAATTTAGTAAATGAAAATTTTGGTCCATTCGTGTTAGAACAGGCAATCTCTTTCCAAAAGGAATAATTTGGGGAACTTTCTGGATAATGTGCAGTTAAATTGGTTTCACTCCTGTTGGACTTTGAGGGCATTTATTGCTAATGTGTGTGACCTCCAAGGGAAGGTATGTTCTTGCTCTGGGATTAAGGAAAGTCCCCAGCTCTGCGTGATCCTGCTAAAGGAAGGAGTAGCTTGAGCCCCTATTCCATCTGCCTCTGATACTTCATTTTGGAACAAAAACTTCATGGAGAAGACAGGAGTCAGAAACTCCATCAATGTTAGATGGCAACATTGTTTAAACTTTTTTTCTTAACATATATTTGCTCAATATTCTAGGGAGGGTGACCTTGCAATTCCTAGTTCAGGACTATAGTTTTAAACCTTTTAAAAGACATTCTAAAATGAGCATGCTTAGTGTTTAAAATTGTGGGGATTATTAACAGAAATTATTATTCCTCTGAAAGAGGAATGCCAGCACCCCACCTTTGACTTTTGGGAATTGACATTTATGACAAAACTTCAAAGGGCAGCTTCAGACACGGATGGAAACACGGTGTCCAAACTTAAATGAAAGGAAGAAGTGATGTTGGAAATTCTTGATGGTCCCAAGAGTATCTTCAGTATTAGCAAAAGTTGATGTCGGAGAAACGTGAAAGCACTTAAAAATAACTGAGAGTTATTTTTAAAACATCAGAGTTCAAGAGTGGCATATTAAAATTGTTTTATATTTTATAAGCATGTGACTTAAAATACATTTCTGTTGCTGAAAGTTTATATATGAATGTTGGTAAACAGCTTTTGAAAACTTCTCTGTGGGAAGTCTCTTTATGGGAAAATAAGGGATGGTTTTATACTCAGTTTTGCCTTCCACGATGGTACTTGTGGTAATTTGCAGAGTTCTCTGGTCTCGTCTGAGTCCTGGAAGCTTCTCTGTGAGTCCCTGCGAGAACACACTTTGAGAAATGTGGTTCCTAGTGAGAGCTCATCTAGCTGGGTTTCTGTCTCTGATCCACCTCCTGCTCCAACCCGAATTGCTCTTCAGTTAGATCACAGCTGCCGTGACTGCAGGGAGAGCCAGAATATCCCAGCAAGTGATCTTAGGCTCAGAGCAAGGGTTCAGAGGTCTAAAAACAGTGCTGACATGTGGCAGGCTGGGTTGTCTTCATGACAGATGGGTGGTCTCACAGAAAAACAGGTTCCATGAAGGAAGGGTCCCTCACTTCTTGAAACTGGCTGATAGTATTCAAAAGCCAGCATCTCTACTAAGTAGATGGTTAAATACACTTAACATTATATTTTAATAAGAGAGTTGACCTAAAAAGCCATCCAGTGCAACCATCCGACGGTCCAGCTAATAAGAGCAGCTCTGTCCCATAGCAGCCTGGTGTGCGTGACCTCAGGCAGTCCTCTTATACACCTGTGAGTGGGTGTACTCATCTACATTCTCCAGTGAGAAACTGAGACCCCAGAAACTAAGACAATGGCAAAATATTGTCTCAGATATGAGATCAGCACATGGCCCTGGCTTCCCAAGACCACACCCCTGATCTGTGGTTTCTTGAGTCACATCTAGGAGGCACCAAGTCTGATTAAGAACACAAATCTCCTCCCAGCCCAGGGCCCTCAACCCTCTGCCCCTTCACACACACACACACACACACACACACACACACACATATCACACACACATCACATACACACACATACACGATACACACCACACACACACACACACCACCACACACACACATACCACACCACACATTCCACACCACATACACACACAACACAACACACCATACCACACACACACCATACACACACACATACCACTCACACCATGTTACATATCACATATGACACACACACCTAATACAGACCACACAGACACCACACACAACACACCAAACACCACACACATACACTGCATGCATGCACAACACACACACCACATACACACGCATACACACACACAGAGCCACTAGCTCTGGATATTCTGTTATTTGCAAGTTTCCCTGTGAATGACACTGGTGTTCTCACAGAAATAAAACAACATATTAAAAAAAAAAATACAGCCTTGTGCTAACTCGACTTCCTCATGTTGGGTTCCAACTCTTGCAGAGACCAGACGCCATGAGGATGAGGGCCATAGGCCGGTCTAAACTGCTGCCATGAGAGAGGACACTGTGCTCTCAGAAAGACAGTGAGGTCTCTGGGGAGGCCTGTTTCAGCCCCCTCAGCTTCACCATCGTGAACAAGGAAAGGGTGGATGGATCTAGAAGGTTCCCAGAGATGGAACAGCCCAGTTCCGCCTCTGTAGCTGGCAGTGAGATGACAACTCTGACTTGGGCTGAACTGGCTACACCAAGGATTTTAGAAAATGCTTACAAAACATGTCAGCAGGTAGGCACTGGGCGATGCAAAAGCTGAGTAAGTCCAACTAGACGGATTAACATAAAGTATCCACGAGGAGATGATTTTCCCTTTATCATAAGCACCTCCAGATCAGCACCATCCAGTGCAAACAGTGTTGACCACCTGGGTAATTTAACATTTCTAGCAACCACCATTAAATTAAAAGGAAATAGGAGAAATTAAGAGATAGGAGAAATTAAGCTTGATGCTGTATTTTCTTTAACTCTGTAGCTCTAATATATCATCATTTCAACATGCAAACAAAATAAAAATCACCAAGATAGTTTACATGCTTCTTTTGGTAGCATTTCTTTGAAATCTTGGTGTGTATTCCACTCAAACAGAATATCTCAATGGAGACCAGCCACATTCATGGACTCAGTAGCTACATGTGGATAATCTAGAACATTTGAGAAGTTTATTTTTAGTAGTACAGAATTTAAAAATGCATGGATATATTGCACTGAGTTCTCAAGAGGGGGAATATGCCATGGAGAGAGAATGTGGTGACTCTCAGTTGGATTAATGTTTTATTTCTTAGAAGATATATCAATAGTTTTCTGTTTCATAATGCTACAAGTGATATGTTCCATTTTCAAATTCAAATTTGAAATCTCACCTTAAATTAGCAAAATAAACATCCCATACTGAGTTTTCATAATTTTTCCAAAATGGATGATCCATGCAAAGGAAGGTACACTATACATGTTGTTTCTTTAGGTTATTTTACATTGGAAAATCTGAAGAAATTGCCAAATTCACCACTCATAGATATGGTCAGTCTTAACAGTGGCATGGAATAACTTCAATTTATCATGGGTTTCATGCAAAAAAACTAAAGAGTTATTTCAATCAAATGGAATATGTTAGGACTGACACTCTAAAATTGATACTCCTTAAAGTAGACAAAAGACCTGGGATATCTCTAGAAGGAGAGACCTCTGGGGTTGCTGAATTTGGAGTCAGAAATGGGAGCTTTCTCTACAGTTTTACAGGATAGCTCTTCCTAGTTGGACAAAAAGTGAAGATGAACATTTGCATCCTCGTCACCAGCATGGGTGACAGGTTGATGGAGCTGGTTCCTCCCTCATGAACTCGGGAAGCTAATCTTTCTTTTTCCACTTCCTCTTCTGCAAAATAAAGCTCAATAATATGTACTGCCTCACAGAGGTCATGATGTGCAAGGGGACCTGACCCATAGACAGGAGAAATCAAGGGCACACCTTTAGATACCACTGGGGTAGGGTGGGGTGGGGCTCCTAGGTGGGGCCCAGGATTTTACTGATAGAACACAGAAATCTCCTTGGCCTATTCCTAAGGTTTGGATAATTTCCCATGACATTAGCAAGCACTCAATTCATGTCATGATTATCCTTCTATTTTTATAGTCCAATCCTCACAACTCTCACTTCTCTATAAATACAGAGAGCAAAACTCTGGGAGAAAAATAAAGGCAAGCACTCTGGTTCTCCAATGGTTGCTCAGCACACATGTTCTGCTCACACTGTGAAAGAAACAGGTGTCCAGTTCATGCTGCAAATGCCTCCGTTGAAATGGAAGAGCAGAAGTACCCTCATTCAGATTCCTTCCCATTCACCCTTGCCAGCCTAGGACCTCCCAGTCTGCCAGGCTCGGCATCAGATCCCAGCTCTGTCCCTGCTAGTACTGGGTCTTTGTCCATCTCTATGCTTACATTGGCCAAAACAAATGGAGGGGACAGTGAGGGCAGGAAAGGAAAGAAATGTGGGTGGTAAGGAGACTTGGGCTATGACAAGTTGTGGGGAAACATCTCTGGTGAACATGGGCATGCCTCCTTGAAAAGTGTGCTAAGAGCTGTACAGAGACCACCTGCAATATCCTGACCTGGCGCTGTGGCTCAGTAGTAGAGCGCTTGCCTAGCACGTGCGAGGCACTGGGTTCAATCCTCAGAACCATATAAAAATAAATAAATAAAATAAAGGTATTGTGCCCTTCTACAACTAAAAAAAAAGAAAAGAAAAGAAAAAGAAAGAAAGAAAGAAAAAGAAAAAAAGTAAAAGTAAAAAAAAATCAATGCCCTATACTTTCTGCCTCAGTGAGGCGTGGAAAGGGGTGGGGGTGGCAGTCAGGAACTTAACTCCCATGAATTTCAGTTCTCTCATTTACGGAACAGGGAATTTATTGCCTAATTCCCAGGGTCATTGCTAGGTTGAATCTGATAAAGTGTGGAAATCCCTTGAAACTTCTGGGCATTCATAGCTTCACTCACCCAACAAGCACTCATGGATGACCTGTGTGTCCTTGACACCCCAGGCACTTAGTTGGTGCTCCCCAACCTTTATACTAATGCTGGTGATGGATTCCCCGACCACAGTCCTTTCAACAAGTTTATGAGAGGCAGCAATTGACATTATCTATTTTTGCAGCAGAAGAGTTCAAAACATAGGAGATGAAGAAGGAAAAATAATTCTATAATTTCTTCTTCTACAGAATCTATCCTTCAAAAGCATTGCCTTTCCTAAATCCCCCTCCCACTGGCTATCTTTCCAAGTAAAGGCTTCTGGGAGTCCCCAGAAGTGCTCTCCCAAGAGGTGTCCCTAGGGGGCGAGGGTGAGCTGAGCTGGGGAAGAAGTGCTGAGGATGGCCACACACTGCTTCCAGATGCACCCAGACCTTCCTACAGAATGGGTTAACTACCCCACCCTGCCTGGGAGGGCCCAGAGGGGCCTTATCTGCCTGTTATGGTTTAAGGATGCTGAAATGCCACCTGCTTCCATGTATCTGCATTGTAATCTACTTCCCATCCCACTATTAAAGGCACTCCTTTGAGTCAAGGCCGAGGTCTCCCAAAGGTCCTGATTAAAGCACATACTTCAACACGAACAGGTTGATAAAATTAACTAGCTGTCCTTTTGGGCCTTGAGAGAGCAAAATTTTTAAAGGAGTAGAGGGCAGGAGGCACTGACCAGCCAGGAGCCACCAGGACCCTGTCCTGGGAGGAGGAGACTGTGTCCTGAACACAGACCCAGGGCAGGACTTTCAAGCCCTCTTGGAAAGTCACCATCTCTCACTTTTCCTGATCCTCCTTTAGTATGTTCTGTTAAATGTATGCAGACCCCTGGGGTCAGTGCCTTTCTCCTCACAGAACCCCTGGGTCCTTTTCTCAGATTCAACATGAAGAATTAGGTAATGTGGAGATTCTCCAGCCCAGGGTCCAACTTCATCTCCACAGCCACCACATCCTGCTTCTCCTATCTCCCAACTCCTACTCCTGATTTTACTACCTAAGGAAGAAAATGGTACCGTTGACATCTGTGGAAACTTCCAGAAAGACCTGGCAGGCTTCTTTTTTTGGGGAGGGAGGTGCTAGGGATTGAACCCAGGGTCTTGTGCTTGCAAGGCAAGCACCTGGCAGAGCTTCTTAAACAAAGCTCCATAGAAGACAGGGTCTGCTAAGCACTTGAAGGGGAACATCCTGAGCACTTTCTCACCTTTGGCATTATAGTCCTGATTAGGCTGTGCCTTTTTTTCTGACAAAATATCTGCAAATGTCTTTGCTTGGTGCTCTGGAGCATGTGAACTCCAAAACAGAGGCCTGAGCTGTGGCCCAGGACTGGGGCAGGGACCCTAATGCAGCAGCCAGGATGGGCCTATGGAGCACAGCCCTCTGGCCTGGTCATTGTTGGGCCTTAGCGTGGACCTAGCTTGCCTTGTTAATTTTTTCTTTTTTGAAAACAAAGGTAAGCCATCTATCTCTCTATTTTTTTTAAGTTGGTAGTTAATTAAAATACAAACAAAAAATCAAGAGGCCCCTGTGCCGGCTCTCAAGCAAGTGGGGAGCTGGGTCCCGGGTGACAGTGTGGGGCTTGCTTTATGTCTGGCACAGCTGGTCCTTTGGGGCGTTGCCTGGTCCCTGGGGGGTGGCATCCTCAACTTGACTAAGGGGGAGCACCCGGGAGGGCTAGGGAGCCCCAACAGAGAGTGTTTATTGGCCAGACCAAATAATTCAGACCCTATCAACTCAGCTGTGCTTGTAAAAACAAACTTTTCTGCCTTCCTCTTGGACGTTACATAAATCTAATTAAAACACCCAAGTTTCATGTAATATTTGAACACCATTTCACCTCTTGTGTGGTTATACCTTTGTTTTATACTGATGAGTCTTTAGCCTTCTGCCCAGGAATGAAATGTCAGATTTCTAAGTCATGATTATTCTTTCTCTTCATTCAAATTTGTTAATTACTATTTTTTTTCTATTTTGCATCTCTAACTTATTCTCCGAAAGTTCACAAGGTGTAATGGCATTATATTTCAAGGGGAAAGTGAGTTATATGTTGCTTCCTTTCCTTTATAATTACACATAAATATCTTTATTATATATGACATTTATTATATAATTTATGTGTGTGTGTGTGTGTGTGTGTGTGTGATGCTGGGGATTGAACTCAGTTGCTTTACCACTGAGCTACATCCCCAGCCTTTTTATTTTTTTAGTTTGAGACAAGGTCTAGGTTGCCAAGGCTGGCCTAAGAACTTGCCATCCTCCTGCTTTAGTCTCCTAAATTTCCTAAATTGCTAGGATTAAGGGAATGTGCCACCAAGCCCAGCTATATCACATAATTATATCAAAGAATTTGTGGCTATTTTTACCTTCTTTATAAGCAATGATTTAAATTGATAAAGTAACAATTATCTGTGCTTATTTGGGACTTACAACACAGAGCAGGTGGAAACATTCTCTTTAAATGAACTGTGACCTTATGTTGAAAACTCTGTACACATTGCCCCAGCCTCAGCCCTTCCTGGGTGCTCAATAAATACTATTTATTAAACGGACAAGCAAATCATGATGAGAAAGAAATGTTAAAATGACTGTTTCAGGACAGACAGATACACCTTTAAGAAGGTAGAGTATGAACAGTTCACTATTGGGGTGCCCGGAGCCTCTTAGATAGAACCCCGAGCCCCCACCCCATCCTCCAGGCATAGCTCTGGCCTCATTCACTGTGCCAGGCAGCTCCAGCCCCACCTGATGTGTGTTTCCCACATTCATGTACCTGAAGGCTTAATATTTTTCTTTAAACCAACTTCTATATTATTCACTTATGCCACTGTCACAAAAGAACAGCCAAATCACTAGCAAGCACAAACACAGCATCAATAGATTTTAGCTCAATGCTGCTACTTGGAGCCTGAGGCTCCTTCTTCCTTTGCTCAAAGGGCAGATTGTGAAGGGTTAAGAAGAGCAAAGATTTATTTCCATCAAAATGAGATTTTCTTTTCCTTTATAGAACCGAAAGGATGAAGGAGACGTGCAAAGGGAGTAAGTAACATCCTCTGGGGTTTGGAGCACATCTGACCCCAGGCTTGAGGAATTCTGATCTAGTCCAGCTTCCCCATTTTACAGATAAGCAAAGGGGGTCAGGGCAGTACGGGGCCTTGGCCAGCTGCAGGGAGGGGCCGGACCCCACAGACCTGCATTCTTTCTCTTCCTCCCTGGGGGAATGTGCATCTCTGATCTCTCTAGCTCACTTACTAAAAGATGGATGGTCACAGGAAACAAGAGAACAAGCAGAAGTCCTGAGGCAGGATCTGGGTGGAAGTGGGGAGGGGGGGGGGGGGGGCTCAGAGTCAGTAAGCCCAGCTGTGGCAAAGATGGGGAACGCAGGGGGCTCATGGGGAGGGGAAGTTACCTTGCCATCTTTTACCCTGTCCCACATCCCCTTTACGCATGAAGTCAGCAGGGCCAGAGAAGGGAAGTGCATTGCCTGAGGTTTCAGTGACAGAGGGAGAGCTACACCCTCAGCCTCCCAGCCTGCCTTGGTACATGGCGGCACTGTCCTGGCTCTAATTTCCCTGCTGGGTGGGGAACCCAGAACAGTGTCCATGCCTCTCAGTGTGCGGCCAGTGGGAGGAATCACAGCTCTAGCCCTGCACCAGCTGCCCTCAGAGTCATGGCTGGGCACTGCCTACCACAGGGAGCTGCGCCCCGGGAGCAGTTCTGGAAACTCACTGCGAAGCGCTTCCCGCAGCCCGCGTTGCCGCAGCAGCCGCAGCAGTCATTGTTCTTGAGGCCCAGGAACACCAGCGCAGGGAAGATCATCTGTAGCAAGACAAGCAGCTCAGAGGCATCCGGGGTTCCAGGGAGCACCCTGCCTACCTGAGGAACGGAGCCCCATCTGCAATGTGGGACCTGGAGGCTCCGGGGGGTGGGTGCCAAGAAGGGACAGAGTGGCTGTGGGGCAGGTGGTGTGTTGCTGGGGTCCCAGGTGCCCTGAATGATCTCAGTTTCTCCGAGGTGGCACACCCACTCTGGCACTCCGAGTTTTGATTCAGAAGCAGGACTAGGACAAGCTTAAGACACTTACCCTCGACTATCATAAAAAGTGAGCCACCCCAGCCCAATTTACTGGAAACAAAGGGTAAAGCCATCCCTGCAGACATCTGTGTCCCTTGGTGGTTTGAACTCAATCCACTTGTTAGAAAGCACTATTTGTGACTTAATTCTTTTCAACATCATTTAGTTAGAATAAAGAATTTACGTGGCCCTCAGTTTGATCCATGGAACTCAAATGTCCCACAGAATTGCCAGCCCAATCCCGGGGACAAATCACTTAGTAAAGGGACATGTCCTCGTCAGCCCATAAGACGAGGAGTGTACATTAAAGCACCATCTTTTTGTCCTGCGGTGCATGGGCTTCCGCTAGCTGCCACATAGCTTCCTGTTCCTAAGTACCCAACTGAAAAAGGATAGGAGCAGGGGTCTCCTTAAGGGGGATTTTAAAGTTTCCCTACTTACCAAGACCCCGCTTCCCAGTATTCCTCCAAAATACCAGATCTCCGCAGAAAGATTGTTGTTGTCCTCTATCACTTTTCCTCCAGGGAAGAACAGCAGGACATTAGCCAGAAAGCCAAACAGAGCCAGGGGAATGAGGCTGCCCCCCAAGCACTTGGCACAGCTCCCAGTACACATGCTGGGGAAGCACACTGAGGCTCAGAGATAAAGTCTGGTCGCTGCCCCCTCCACCAGCCTCTTCAAGGCTTTTGGACTGGGTGTCCCAGTGATTGTCCCCAATCCAATCAGTACTTTGGGAAGGAGAACTCGATCTCTGTGAACCACGGAGCTGCTTTGACGTCCCAACTCTAGCGGGCCCTCGATGACGATGGGCATTTATACATTCTCCCGGACCTGAAGTCCTTTTTTTTTTTCCTGCACCCCCATAAATGAGATTACGTTCAGCTCAATCGTTCAATGGTTTTGCCATGGAGACCAATAGCCTCTGTTAATAATCCACCAGACAGACAAGACACCCTGTGGCTGTGCTCAGAGAGAGGCTGGAGCAAGCAACATTTAGAAGCACTGCACCTTCAATCTGACCATGCCCCTGCCAAACAGGAAGATTCCACCAGCTCCCTGCAAATCACTCACATAATCGAGTTACATCCTGGTTAAACTCATATCTCCCGGTACTTAATGTCTGCAGTGTGCATTTTGGTCTTTTCCACTGAGAGCCTGGAGAGCAGGGTTACCCCCAAAGAACTGCTGTTTTCCCCAGTATGGAAATCATATAATGGTCTAATTGGATATTGTTGAGCTCAGGCCTGGAGGATTTCTTAAAGGATAAAAATCAGAAGAACTGTTTTATTGCCTGATGGCTGTCTTTTGTAATGACTCGAGAAGTTAAGTTCTGTGTTCCTCCATTCACGATGTCGTGGAATTAGCATAAAACGGTTTAACTACTTGCTCAGCTGCCTCTTCCATATAGGAATAAAAACCCAGGACCCCAGGTGAGCCTGGAGAGAGGGGGAGAGGCACCAGTGCTTCCACGGGGGCAGAGAGGACAGATCCGAAGGGCGGGCAGAGTGCATGGGGTGGGGGAGCGGCACGCCCACTGCACATTTTGCCAGCTTTCAGCAGTGTGATTCAGCTGCCAGCTTGCTTTGTGTCACTTAGGAAGTCTCTGCCACGCCCAGACCCAGCTCTCCATCGTGCGATGACACTCCCTGGTACCAGTGTGGCGTAGGAGCTGAAGGACAGCAGGGTGGAGCAGGCCATCTTGCTGGCTCTTCCCTGAGTGTTGAGAGGTCAGAATTAAGAATAACAGGTCGGCTTTCTAGGGAGCCAAAGCTCTGCCAGATAAAAAGCAAGTGACTTTCTCATCGTGGCAAGACCTGTCCTGTCATGGGAATGACCACTGGCTTCCAGGGAGCAGTGGACTGTGCCCTGCCAAGGCCCCAGGACCACTGCCCAGGCAAGCTGTGGGAAGGGATTCCAAGAGGCGGGACTGGAGGGACCCTGAGGCCCCCCTAGCCATTCTGTGAGGTGTGCTGCTTGCCCTTTGGAGACACTTGGAGCCCTCAGGGGCAGAGCAGGAAAGAGGAAGGAAAGCAGGGAGAGATCCTGGAGCAGACCCACATGGCAGCTCAGTGCCAGGGCCCCTCAAGGTCCCCGAGGAAGGCATCAGCAGTCCTCTGCCCATGAGGCCGCTCTGGCTCACAGAGGCTACTGTGAGTAAGGTCCTCCCAGCATAAGAGAAGGAGAAAGACTTTAAATCAAGACTCTGGGTCACCAAAACCCAGGCTGTGGTCTCTCTAACAGCATTTCCCCTTTGGAAACAATCAAGCAAATTCACTCTGTCAACAGGAACACTGTGTGGGAAATGAGTGATGCTTCCTTTGGAACCACAAAAATTGGGATTATTCCTTGTTTTGTTTTTTGGTACCAGGGATTGAACCCAGGGGCACTTAACCTCTGAGCTACATCCCCATCCCTTTTTTATAGTTTATTTAGACACAGTGTCTCACTAATTTGCTTAGGGTCTCGCTAAGTGGCTGAGGCTGGCTTTGAACTCGCAATCCTCCTACCTCAGCCTCCCCAGCTGCTGGGATTTCAGGTGTGTGCCATGGCATGATTTTACTTCTTATTACAAAATAATATGTGATTTTCTTTTGGGAGACAAATTTAGTATGCAGATGAGCAGGAGGAAGGAAAGGAAAGCCAGCAGTGTTCCCACTACTAGCAAGGAAGGTCTCTTAGCACTTTGCTGGCAGCTATGTTCCAATACCCCAGCAGGTGCCCTGGCCTTGACCCAGGACCCACCAGCATTCCACAGGGAGCCTGGGGAACAAGTGGACCAAAGAAGACAAAGGTTCTAAGAATATAAACATTGTTTATATTCTTTTTTTTTTTTTTCTTTTTTTTTTTATTGTTGGCTGTTCAAAACATTACATAGTTCTTGATATATCATATTTCACAATTTGATTCAAGTGGGTTATGAGCTCCCATTTTTACCCCATATACAGATTGCAGAATCACATCAGTTACACATCCATTGATTTACATATTGCCATACTAGTGTCTGTTGTATTCTGCTGTCTTTCCTATCCTCTACTATCCCCCCTACGCTCCCCTCCCCTCCCCTCCCCTCCCCTCCCCTCTTCTCTCTCTGCCCCCTTTACTGACATTCGTTTGTCCCCCTTGTATTATTTTTCCCCTTCCCCTCACTTCCTCTTGTATGTACTTTTGTATACCTCTGAGGGTCTCCTTCCATTTCCATTCATTTTCCCTTCTCTCTCCCTTTCCCTCCCACCTCTCATCCCTGTTTAATGTTAATCTTCTTCTCATGCTCTTCGACCCTACTCTGTTCTTAGCTACTCTCCTTATATCAAAGAAGACATTTGACATTTGTTTTTTAGGGATTGGCTAGCTTCACTTAGCATAATCTGCTCTAATGCCATCCATTTCCCTGTAAATTCTATGATTTTGTCATTTTTTAATGCAGAGTAATACTCCATTGTGTATAAATGCCACATTTTTTTTATCCATTCATCCATTGAAGGGCATCTAGGTTGGTTCCACAGTCTAGCTATTGTGAATTGTGCTGCTATGAACATCGATGTAGCAGTGTCCCTGTAGCATGCTCTTTTTAGGTCTTTAGGGAATAGACCGAGAAGGGGAATAGCTGGGTCAAATGGTGGCTCCATTCCCAGCTTTCCAAGAAATCTCCATACTGCTTTCCAAATTGGCTGCACCAATTTGCAGTCCCACCAGCAATGTACAAGTGTACCCTTTTCCCCACATCCTCGCCAGCACTTGTTGTTGTTTGACTTCATAATGGCTGCCAATCTAACTGGAGTGAGATGGTATCTTAGGGTGGTTTTGATTTGCATTTCTCTGACTGCTAGAGATGGTGAGCATTTTTTCATGTACTTGTTGATTGACTGTATGTCCTCCTCTGAGAAGTGTCTGTTCAGGTCCTTGGCCCATTTGTTGATTGGGTTGTTTGTTCTCTTATTGTCTAATTTTTTGAGTTCTTTGTATACTCTGGATATTAGGGCTCTATCTGAAGTGTGAGGAGTAAAGATTTGTTCCCAGGATGTAGGCTCTCTATTTACCTCTCTTATTGTATCTTTTGCTGAGAAAAAACTTTTTAGTTTGAGTAAGTCCCATTTGTTGATTCTAGTTATTAACTTTTGTGCTATGGGTGTCCTATTGAGGAATTTGGAGCCCGACCCCACCGACTGTAGATCGTAGCCAACTTTTTCTTCTATCAGACGGCGCGTCTCTGATTTGATATCAAGCTCCTTGATCCATTTTGAATTCACTTTTGTGCATGGCGAGAGAAAGGGATTCAGTTTCATTTTGTTGCATATGGATTTCCGGTTTTCCCAGCACCATTTGTTGAAGATGCTATCCTTCCTCCATTGCATGCTTTTAGCCCCTTTATCAAATATAAGGTAGTTGTAGTTTTGTGGATTGGTTTCTGTGTCCTCTATTCTGTACCATTGGTCCACCCGCCTGTTTTGGTACCAGTACCATGCTGTTTTTGTTACTATTGCTCTGTAATATAGTTTGAAGTCTGGTATCGCTATACCGCCTGATTCACACTTCCTGCTTAGCATTGTTTTTGCTATTCTGGGTCTTTTATTTTTCCATATGAATTTCATGATTGCTTTCTCTATTTCTGCAAGAAATGCCGTTGGGATTTTGATTGGCATTGCATTAAACCTATAGAGAACTTTTGGTAATATCGCCATTTTGATGATGTTAGTTCTGCCTATCCATGAACAGGGTATATTTTTCCATCTTCTAAGATCTTCTTCTATTTCTCTCTTTAGGGTTCTGTAGTTTTCATTGTATAAGTCTTTCACCTCTTTTGTTAGGTTGATTCCCAAGTATTTTATTTTTTTTGAAGATATTTTGAATGGAGTGGTTGTCCTCATTTCCATTTCAGAGGATTTGTCGCTGATATACAGGAATGCCTTTGATTTATGCGTGTTGATTTTATATCCTGCCACTTTGCTGAATTCATTTATTAG